TCCACCGCACTCCACCGCACTCCACCGCTCTCCACCGCTCTCCACCGCTCTCAGTTGCCTTCCTTCGCCTTTCCTCCTCTCCCTGTCAGCGGCAGTCAGCTGCTGCAGCCATGGTGATGGCGCACTCACAGCTCCTCCTGGACGCAGAGGGTCAGGCAATAGACTTCGAGGCGTGGCTTGTCGACCTCTGCCGTCAGCACCAGGACGGTCACTCCCTGGCTGTTCATATCGATGGCTTGCTTCCCCGCCCCGCTGCGCTTGTTGCTTTCCTTGATGCCCCCACCAATGCTGAGCAAGAGGCAATTTCCGCTGCTGCGTTTGCTTGCGCTGTCTGGGAGTCGCGCGATGTTGTTGCGCAGCTTGCTATTAGTTACGCACTACCCCTGTCTGAGCGTCCCCGCTTTACCACTGTAGGGAACGCAAAGGAATTCTTAGAAGCAGTCATCGCGCGCTATTCCACCCCCGCGTCAGCCTCTGCTGGCCGCCTGATCCTCCCCATGCTGCTCCCTGATCTTGCGTCCTTCCCCACTGTCGCCGACCTCCCCACTCACCTCCGCAGGCTTGAGACTAGTTCCGCACTGCTAGCACTGCAGCTCAGCTCAATGCCTCACTGCCTTGCTACCCTGTATCTCATTACCACACACCTCCCCGACCGACTAGCCACAGCCCGCGACCACTTCCTTAGTCAGCACCCGGGTGACCTCACTCTTACCGCCTTTGTTATTGGCCTGTCTGCAATAGAGACCCGCCAGCGCACTATCGCTCAGTCTAGCGGTACTGTGCCGATCCCTATCTTTCACAACTGGTCTCCCTCCCAGTGCTCTTACTCTGACGTCACTGCTGATGTTGCTAAGACCGCCGCTGCGGCTTCAGCGCAGCCGCGTCCGGGTAAGGGCCGCTGGCTGAAGGGAGGGCGTGGCAGAGGGACTCCAGGGGAGTGGGGGTAGGGAGGGTGGAGGAGGTGGAGGCGGGGACAGTGGTTCAAACGAGGGGACAGGGGCTGGTGCTCTTGAACTGCAGCAGCAGCAGACGCAGCCTCGGCAGTAGTCACCGTGGTGGAGACCCTCGCCACCGTGGTGGACAGGCGGCTCTAATGGCGGTGGTCGTGGACTTGGCGGGCGCAGCTTAGGGCCGGGTGGCGGCTCCAACGCGGTCACCTGCCAGTACCAACTTCAGACTGGCCCCCATCGCGGCACCGTCTGCGATCGTCTCGGTCACACAGCCGTTCGCTGCTACCGCCGCCTGGACGACCTTTTCCGTCACCGCTTCGGTCCCACCTCGGACCCTCCTGACTGGTACGCCCAGGCTCCCCGTCGTGTGCCTGTCTTTGAGCTTGAAATGGATCAGATTAGGACTGCTATGTCTGTCATGTATGCAGATGACTCTAGTGTGATTGGACCCTAATACTCGTTATTGCCTAGCATAGGTGTGTCGCCTGTGTGTAGTCTAGGTTCTCCTGCTGCATCAGACGTAGGACCCCCTGCCTTGTTTAGCCTAGGTTCTAGGCTAGCTCCTCTGCCGCTTGACGCTACTGCATCGCTCTCCTTTACGCTGGGCTCGGGCGTGTCTACCTATTTCTTTCACGACCACGCTGCGCTCACGCCGCTTGCTGACCCCTCCTCAGGTTCGGTAGTAGCCTGTAGCTCAACTACCCTCCCCTGTCTGACGATCCCCTCGGGCTCTCTTACAGGCCTGCATATCCCCTCAATCTCTAGGAACCTAGTTGGTGTCCGCTGTCTTCAGGACCTCGGCGTCACCACTATGTTCCCTGGATACGAGCCGTATGTGGTCTATGCCAAGGCCGCCACTAGTGCCCCCCTGACCACGTTCCCCCGGGACCTTCTGTCAGGCCTGTTTACGCTTGAAACTGGGTTCCCCCCGGTGAGGGCGTTCCTCCAAGTGCTTGCGGCAACCCAGGTCGCCGCTGCTTGCTTGTGTCGGTCGCTCACCCATTCGTCGGTGATGTGGCACCACCGCTTAGGTCACCCCGCACTCCCGCGTCTGCGTTACATGTCCCATCATGGTCTTGTCTTCGGTCTCCCTGCGTCGCTCCCTGCCCTTTCCCCCTCGCCTGCGCCGCCATGTACACCTTGCGTCGAGGGTCGGTTGCGCCGTGCTCCTCACTCCTCCTCATCCCCCCCTACCACTGCGCCACTCCAGACCCTGCACTTGGACGTTTGGGGCCCAGCCCCCGTCCATGGCCCGTGTCACGGGCGCTACTTTCTAGTGCTTGCCCACGACTACACGCGTTACACCACGGTGTTTTCCCTGGAGCAGAAGGCCAACGTGCCTAACGTTCTTATCCCATGGGTCGTAGCTACGCGAGTCCACCGCGGCCTCCCTATGCTGCGACTCCACTCCGACCGTTGTGGCGAGTTTGCCTCCGGTCGACTTGGCCGGTTCTGTCGTTCGAAGGGCATCACCCAGTCGTACACCCTGCTGGACTCCCCACAGCAGAATGGGGTCGCTGAGCGACGCATCTGTTTGGTCATGGAGATCGTTCGTCCCTCCATGATCCATGCCGATGCACCCTATTTTCTATGGCCGTTCACACTTCGCTACGTAGCTCACCAGCTTAACATGTGGCCACACTCACAGCGGCCGCAGGTTTCGCCGACCCTTCTTCGGACCGGATTCCCTGGTGACGCGTCTGTGTTCCACGTCTGGGGCTGCCTCGCTCACGTTCGTGCCTCCAGCACGGACAAGCTTACTGCCTGCACTGTCCTGTGTGTCTTCCTTGGTTTCCCCCTTGACGCGTCTGACTGACACTTCTACCACCTGCCTTCTCACAACTTCTTTAACTCGCGTGACGTCACTTTTGACACTTTTGACAAGTCTGTCTCCTCCTACCACCGCTTTACCCACCGATGTCTCTTAGTTTCCCCGCCCCTGTTTTTGGTTCCCTCTCCCCCGGTAGCCCTTGCTCCTCACACCCCGTCCTACCCCGTTTGGTGTGTCTTACGTCACTCCCCTCCCATCGCTTATCCCGGTCAAGGAGTCGGTTGATTCCTGGGGCTCCGCGGCTTCGGTTTCGTCGCGTGTCTCCGCCCCGGTGTTCCCGGTCCGCGAGTTCTGGGGGTTCTGGTTCTAGGGGTGCTAGTCTTGGGGTTACTGTCTTGGCTTGTCCCGGCGGTCTCTGGGGTGGCACCGGTGCTGGAGTGGGTTCTCGTTCCGGGGGTGTTGGCATGGAGTGTCCTAGAGGTAGCCTTGGTGCAGCTGGAGGTTCATTTGATGGCGTGGAGCAGCATCAGTAGCAGTCGCAGTCGCCACCGGTGTCCGCCCTTCGCCTTCTCGGTCTTCCCTCCCCTGATCACCCGCTTGCGCCTCCCCCGGCGCCGCCTCCCGTGTGTGTCCACGGCCCTGTCTTTCCTCCGCTCGACTCGTCTCTGGCTCGTTTCCCCCCTCGTTCTCCTCCTGTCTCTCCTCCCCTGTCTCCTGACCCGACGCCTCCGTCTCACGTCTGGTCTCGTCGTCCCTTCCGTGATCGTCCCGTCTCCCCTGTTCAGCGCTCCCACCCTATGTTGCTTCGTTCCCATGTATACCATCCTCCCCTCCTCCCTCTGCCTCTTCTGTCGTTCCTTGTTGTCGCGCCGCCTTCTCTGTCTGACTACCTTCGTGCCGCTAGTCCTTTTGTTCCTTGGTTCCTTGCCTCCCTCGTTACCGACCAGTATCTTCCTGTCTTGAGTCTTGACGCGCTTTTCGCTGCCGTTGCTGACTTCGACTCTACCCGCCGCCTTGACTACGCCACCGCTCTGGTCTCTGACCTTGCCCGTCCTGCGTTCGTCGGGGTTGCTTCTGCCCTTGGCAGTGACGTCCTAGAGGAACAATAGTACGAGCTTGCTTTCATGTCCGAGGCCGCGCCTCATCTCTGCTCCATGCTGCTAGTCCCTGAGGGGGACCCAGACGCTTTTGACATCCCAACCCCTTGCACTTACGCTGAGGCGACCTCGAGACTCTGGGTCTCTCAGTGGATAGCTGCCATGGATACGGAGATGGCATCTTGGAGATCCACTAGCACCTACGTGACGCAGTTCCCCCACCATAGGTGAACGTAGTCGATGGCCGGTGGCTCTTCAATGTGAAGCGCCCTCCTGGAGTGCCGCCGGTGTTCAAGGCGCGCTACGTAGCTAGAGGCTTTAGTCAGCGCGAGGGTATTGACTTCTTCCAGACCTTCGCTCTGACCCTGAAGATGACCACTCTTCGGGCGCTGCTACACGTAGGAGCACATCGTGGCTACGAGCTGCACTTCCTCGACTTCTCGACAGCGTTTCTTCAGAGCTGTCTGCACGAGCACTGGCTGTATTGTATTATCTTGACTGGCCTTGTGGCTCTTGTCCCAGTGGTTGTATTAGTAGTACCACCCCAGATTGCTCTTCTTTAGTTTGTACTCTTGCTGACTGATCTTCGGACCCCTGCCTCAGAGGTTGGACTAGTAGTGCCTCCCTAAGCTGTGTGTCTCTTGCCAGGCACTGCCCCTCATCTAGCCTGGAGGGTGTGTCAAACATATTTTGTATATATCTTATAGGCTAGATAGGTGCGTACTCTTAGAGGGTACAACCCTTAGGACAGAATCAACCTGTTTGCATAATTCTAGTAATTCATTCTCACTTTAGTAGCTTTCTCCAATTCTATATCTATGTTTATTGGAGCAACTTAGAGACTCCCATGATTCCAACAGTCTTGTTACACTTGCTGACTGACTTTGTGGCCCTTGTCTTAGTGGTCAGACTAATGCCCTGACTTACTTTGTTACACTCGCCTGAGGCCAAAATAGCAGTGCTGCCCTGGTTTGCTATGCCTTGTTACCTGCCAGTAGCTAGGCTAGGGGGTGTGTCGATAAATATACTTGCTAGTTAGTTTATATTGTTATATCCTAGCTAGGTCAGTTCTTTGGGGGTGTAACCCCCCTGTTGTACCTCTCTACACCTCTCCCATAATCACTTTTCACGCTACTCGAACATATATGTATATATACATATATTTGTTTGTTGACATGTATGGCTTTGTTTCAAGTTGGACAAGCCTTTCTGATTCAGTCGATGGCTTTTATTACAGCATGCAAGCAAACCAAACACCTGCAGTCTCAACAGCGAACCGAACCATATTGTGCAACAGCCTTGCAAACACCAGTCACTTGTAGGGAGTCCCCGCAATGTTTGAAATCCCCTTTTTAGCCAATCTCAACCTCTCTTCTAAAACCTTCTCCATCCCTGCCTTCCCCACACCACCAGTGGACCCCCCAGCCCCACCCTCACTGGCCCCCTCACTCCTGATGTACTGTAGCAGCTGGCGCGTGGACGGCGCGTGTGGCGAGAGATGGGCGGCGAAGAAGAGGAGGATTCCGTCTCGTAACGGGCCGAGGGTGGTGGGGGCGGCAATTCGGGAGAAGAGGGACCAGAGGGTGGAGGGGGGGAAGGAGGAGAGGAGGAAGAGGAAGAAGAGGCGGAAGTGCAGGGCGATGCGCGGCTGCATGGCTGCTGGGTCGGCAAAGTCCACAGGCTGGGGATAGAGCAGGCAGGGGGGAGTGGGGAGGGGAAAAAGAGAAATACACGGTGGCAGGGACTGCAATACATGGAATCATTGCCGTGAGCAGAGCAAGAGACAACGCGTGGTTGCCAACGATCTGGTTGGCGAACTGGGCAAGGTGCAGAGAGCAGCGGGTTACTTTGCGAACTGGTCAAGGTGCAGCGAGCGGCACTGCTTGAAGTAGTGTGGTGCATGCAAAGCAGTGTCGTGAATGCGAAGCAGTCTAGGAATGGGACGGCACCTTCAGCAGAGCGAGAGACAGCGCGTGGTTGCCAACAATCTGGGCGGCGAACTGAGCGAGATGCAGGGAGCGGCGGGGTTCCATTTCCGGCAGCTGCTGGTAGTGGTCCCACAGGCAGTACTGCAAACTGAACTTGTGGGAGCGCGCGTGCCCACAGAGACGCCCAGCCACGAGGGAATAATACTTGTTGAAATTGCGCTCCTGCAGGCAGCACTCCACTAGGACTCTCAGAATCTCCCGATCCTACAGGGAGGGCGGGGCAGGAGGGCAGGAGGGCAGGAGGGGGGGAGAGAGGGGGGGGCGGCCGCAGCATGTAAGCGAGCAGAAACGAGAGAGTAGAACTTGTGGAAATGGAGATCTTGTAGGCAGCGCTCTACCGATTCCCGCAAAATCTCTTGATCCTGTAACCAGGCAGGGAAAAGCAGGAAGAGGGAGGGAGGGGAAGGGAGCATGGAAGGGAGCACGGAAGGGCGCATGGAAGGGAGCACGGAAGGGCGCATGGAAGGGAGCATAGCCACCAGGCCATGGGGGGAGAAGAAGAACAAGCAGCACGAGTGCTGGGGGAACTTGAGGTAGCTCCTGGTGATGGTACCACAGGTACTGCAGAGTGACTAGAACGAGTGCTGGGGGAACTTGAGCTCCCGCAGGCAGTACTGCAGACTGAATAGAATAGAATTCCCACAGACTGACAATGACCCCCGCATCTACCCAAGAACAGAAACACAGGTGACCTGTATAAGAAACACAGGTGACTAAGGGCATGATACGGTGGAGTCATTTTTTAGAATTCTAAAGAATGACTCCACTGAAGCACGCACATGCTTGCCTCGTAGACCCCGTCCGTCTCAGCAGCTTTTCAAAGGCATCGATATAGTCCTCAGCATTCATAATCACACACAGGGCTGGGTGCACCAAGAGATGACTCAAGAGCGCACATACCTGCTTGCCTGGCAGCCCCAGTCTTAAAAGCTTCTCAAAGGCATCGATATAGTCCTCAGCGCTCATAATCACACAGAACACCGCCCGCCTGGCGTCCGTGTTCATCCTCTGCGCTGACGCCAGCTGCATCAGCCTCTCAGCTTCTGCCACGTCAGCAGCGTCCAGCAGTGCGTTCCCTGCCAGCTGGACCGCCAGGCTGGCGCTGCCCGACGCTGACGTGGCGGGTAGGGAGCCGATTGGTTGGGAAGAGGCGGCGGTGTGCCACCATTGGCCCTCCTTGTGCGGGTCAATCAGGCGCTGCCACGTCAGCGATCGTAGCTGAACAGTTTCCACTGGACGCTGGGGGAGGGGGGAGGGAAGAAGAGGGGAAGGGAGAGGGGGAGGTGGAGGGGGAGAGGAGGGGGAGGGGAAGGGAGAGCGGAAAAAGGGGGGGAGGTGGCGAGAAAGGATGCATAAGATGGGTAGTGGTGTGGGTGTGTGTGAACGGGAGGGGGGGGGGGGTGGGTGGGGGATGCGGGGAACGAGGAAGACGTGTGGGTGAGAAGATGGAAGGAGGTACCACACCACACCGCACCACACCACACTTGCCTTGAGCAGCCACTTCTGCAGGCGAGAAACCGCCATGCTGCCGTCCCCTGCATCCCACCCGGCCCACACCACCACACTGCACCACACCAAACCGCACCACACCGCAGCTAACTTGCCTTGAGCAGCCACTTCTGCAGGCGAGACACGGCTGTGCTGCCGTCTCCTGCATTCACATCCGCACCCGCCCCTCCCTTCTTGAACACGCTCACAGCACCCTTGCCCCCCCCCCTGCCCCTCCCCCTCCACCACCTCCTCCTCGCCCTCCCCCTGCTCCCCCTGCTGCTCCCATGGTTCCCGAACCTCCTCCACGCCCGGCGTTGCGTGGCGCTCGGTTGTTCTTGATGTCGGTGATCGTCTCTAGCATGAACTCCACCTAGTGTGTGGTGGGGTAGTGGGGGTAGTGGGGGTAGTGGGGGGTATGGATGAGGGAAGGGATGGTGCACGAACGGATGTGATGGCACCGGCATGATCGGATGTTCTTGATGTCGGTGATTTTCTTCAGCATGAACTCCGCCTGGTGCATAATGGGGGGCATGGGTGATGGACAAAGGGATGTGGAACGCACAGGGCTCCTCCACGCCCACCATTGGGCGGGCTCGGTTGTTCTTGAAATCGGTGATCGTTTCCAGCATGAGTTCCACCTGCGAGAGGAAGAAAGTGGGGATGACATGACATGACATGACATGACATGACATGACATGACATGACATGACATGACATGACATGACATGACATGACATGACATGACATGACATGACATGACATGACATGACATGACAAGGGCAACAAGGGGTGAAACGGGGGGCAGTGAAACGGGTGGCACGAGGTGCGCGGTTGTTCTTGATGTCTGTGATTGTCTCCAGCATGCACTCCACCTGGTGCGGAATATGGTGTGGGGGATAACGTGGGGGAACAAGAGGGAATGAGGGCGCGTGTGTGGCAAGCATGGCTCCTCTGCGGCAGGCGTTTCGCAGCGCTCGGTTGGTCTTGATGTCGGTGATCGTCTCTACCATGAACTCCACCTGGTGGCGAGGCATGGTGTCGGGCACAGCATGAGTCAAAGGTATGCCGGTGTGTGGCAAACACGCCCCTCTGTGCCCGCCTTTGTTCTTGATATCCGTGATCGTTTCCAGCATGAACTCAACCTGTCAGAAGGCCGTGAGGATGATCTGGGGTGACACGAGGCACTCAATTGGTCTTCATGTCGATAGGCTCCTCTCTGGCCTGCATTGCGAGGCCTTTTTTGAGGCCCCTCGTGATGAGTTGACTGCACTGCGGGGCGGTCAGTTCTGCTTGATATCGATGATGGCCTCTAGTAAGGACATGACGTCATGGCAATCATGATGTCATGGCAGTCATGACGTCATGGCAATCATGACGTCATGGCAATCATGATGTCATGGCCATCATGACGTCATGGCAATCATGACGTCATGGCCATCATGACGTCATGGCCATCATGACGTCATGGCCATCATGACGTCGTGGCCATCATGACGTCATGGCCATCATGACGTCATGGCAATCATGACGTCGTGGCAATCATGATGTCATGGCAATCATGACGTCATGGCAATCATGACGTCATGGCAATCATGATGTCATGGCAATCATGACGTCATGGCAATCATGACGTCATGGCGTCATGACGTCATGGCAGTCATGACGTCATGGCAATCAGGACGTCATGGCCATCATGACGTCATGGCTATCATGACGTCATGGCCATCATGACATCATGGCCATCATGACGTCGTGGCCATCATGACGTCATGGCAATCATGACGTCGTGGCAATCATGACGTCATGGCAATCATGACGTCATGGCAATCATGATGTCATGGCAATCATGATGTCATGGCAATCATCATGTCAGGGCAATCATGATGTCATGGCAATCATGATGCTATGGCAATCATGACGTCATGGCAATCATGACGTCATGGCAAGGGAACAATGCAAGCAGTGCTGACTAGACATGAGCAATGAGGCGAGGATTTCCTCGCCTCGGAAATCCTCGCCTCGAAATTTCGGGGGTCGAGGCAGGTTTTCTGGGAAAAATCCTCGCGAGGATTCCTCGCCCCGCCTCGGCGAGGATTCGAGGCCTCGATTTTTCCTCGAGGCAAATGGGCGAGGATTTTGTATCCTCGCGAGGAAAAAATCCTCGTTAGGAATAAAAATTCCTCGCGAGGATTTTTTCCTCGCGTCATTTTGGTGACAGCGCGCCTGGAGGCGCTGGTACAAACACAAATTTCGGAACTAAGCTGATTCATTATTTTTGGATCAGCCAAGTTCTGTAATTTCGTATTAGGCTTACCAATAGCCTTGCTGGTCCCATTTCGCCCAATGCCACCGTTCTAAACAGCTTAAACAAATACCAACGGGTGGGGTAAAAGAACCCCCGTTGTAGGAGGGGGAAGAGAAAAACGCATTGTAGATTGCACGGAGTTTTTAGGCGGCGGGGGGGCTGTCATTAGGGATAAAGGGCCTAACAAAGAACAGTAGCGGTTCTTACTTAGTGTGCCGAGCCCGTTGATAGCATGGCGGCCGTGCTCCACGTGGCGGAGGTGGTGGGAGAAGGGGGCGCGGTAATGGTGCCCGCGGTGCCCAAGGGAGAGGCGGCAGGGGAAGGGGGCAAGAGGGCGAGGAGGAAACTCGCGCAATGACGGCGACCGAGGCGAGGCACTTTAAAGCCATCGCAGCCGCGGCCGAGGCGAAGAAGGTGGGTGAGGCCGCGCGCGAGAACGCTGGGGGGAAGGGCAACGATGCAGGGCGCGGTGATGGCGCCATCCGCGGAGTCTCTAAGGGGAGGGCAAGGGGGGGAGGCGGCCAGCATGCGGGCGAGGGAGAGGAAGAGGAGGAGAAGGGGGAGGAGGAGGTTGAAGAGGCGGAGGAGGAGGGCAAAGAGGAAGAGGAGGAGAAGAAGGAGCTCGAGTGTGTGGAGGGTATGGGGAGGTGGAGGGCCGAGGGCTTGTGCGAGGAAGGAGTGGGGGAGGAGGAGGAGGAGGAGGAGGAGGAGGAGGAGGAGGAGGAGGAGGAGGAGGAGGAGGAGGAGGAGGAGGAGGAGGAGGAGGAGGAGGAGGAGGAGGAGGAGGAGGAGGAGGAGGAGGAGGAGGAGGAGGGGGAGGGGGAGGAGGAGGAGGAGGAGGAGGACGACGAGTGGGGGGAGGAGAAGGGGGAGGAGGAGCAGGAGGAGAGGTCTGGCGACAACACCGAAGAAGACATGTACGATGCGGGGGAGGGGGAACCCGCCGAGCATGACGACGACATGGCGGACCTTGTGGAGGAGGGTGCGGACTCGGTGCTTGGTGCCCTTGGGGGGGGGGGCACTCCCTTCAGCAAGGCGATGCTGAAGGCCATTAAAAAGGAAAAGTGTGAGGGCAGCGGTAGGGGAAAAAAGGTACAAGGCTCAGCCGGGCAAGGCAGGGAAGTACAGACCCCGAGGGGGGCGGGAAGGGGGAGGACTGGCGGAGGAAGGGGGAACACAGGCGGGGGAGGAGGGGGAGGGGGTCGGACTGGAGGAGGAGGAGGAGGGCGGACTGGCATGGGAGGGGGGCGGGCTGGCGGGGGAAGGGGGAGGGCTGGCAGCGTTGGAGGCGGGGGGACTGGCAGCGGTGGGGCAGTGGAGGAGGGGGGAGAGGGGAGAACTGGGAAGAAGAAGCCAGGGAAGCCTGTGAAGGGAGACGGCATGGCGGCGAGATGCTTTGAGCGTCAGTCTGGGCTTGGGAACAAACGGCGCTGCAGGAAGTGTAGTATGGCCACCTGCTGGGCCCACAGCTCCACCACCTCGGGAAGGGATCACATGAAGAACAAACATCGCGCCCATTGGGATATTTGGTCGCGCAAATGGGATGCCCGGGAGATAGGCGGGGACGAGGTGTTCCCCGAGGGTGGATTTGGGGAGGAGGGGGAAGTGCCGGATGGGAAAAACGTGTGGCCTGACGCGGCTTGGTGGCTGGGGGACCCCCCACAGGAGGGGGGTGGACAAGGAGGGCAGCAGAGTATTAAGAGGTTCCTTTCTCATCGAATGGACGAGGAGTACCTACGCCAGACGATAGTAGAGTACATCGTCGACTCTGATTCTGCCTTCAGCACCACTAATCGCCCAACTGTAAGACCCTTGCCTCTTCCCGTTGCGGTTTTTTTGACAAATTTTCAGCCACATGCCGCCCATGTCGTTTCTGTGTTGCACGGTCGGTCATGTCATGCTGTAAAATCCAATGCCTACCAACACCAATGCCATGATGCGCCACTCCCTCCATCACCCCGCCGGACAGTTTCGCCGCATGATGGCAGCGGCTAACCCACAGTGTGCCACCCCTGGTGTCATTCCTGGGCGGCACACTGTGGGCCGTGATTGCATCCGTCTAGGGGATCTGGCGCGCGCAGTTCTCAAGGACGAGCTCTCAATGTCCAGGGGCGTGGGCAAGGTCAGCTTGACCACAGACATCTGGACGGGTGAGAACAACCGTGGTTACATGGCGGTTACAGCCCACTGGATGACGGCAGAGTTCGAGCTCCGCCAGGGACTGCTGGAGTTCATAGCACTACCGCCGAGCCACACAGCGCCTGTAGTGGCTCAGGTGCTGGAGGCAGTGGTGCGGGATTGGGGGTTGACCGGGCGATGCATGGCTGTGACTACCAATAACGCCGCCACCAACACCGCGGCCATGAGGTGGCTGTCCCGCGGCGAGAGCGGCGACAGGGTCCCGCCGCTCTTCCAGACCGGGCTCCACATCCGGTGAGTGTATACTGTTTTTGTCGCTGGAGGCCCAGCCTTGCTCAGAAGCAACCGAGTGCACAGAGCTTGCATGTGCAAGCTATGCCATGCAATGCCACAAGCCACCTACCATACCATGCCGTGCCATGCCACATGCATGCCATATGCCACATGCCGCATGCCATGCCATGCTGCCATGCCGCCGCGTGCCATTCCATGCCACATGCCATGCCGTGCCATATATGCCACTGCTAACCCGAGCATGCCTTCCGCACATCCCCCCTGTCCCTCCACTAGTTGCCTCGCCCACATCTGCAACATTGCTGTACAGCAAGCGTTGAAGAAGGTGGAGGCTCTGAAGCTGCCGCTGGGGCTGCTGCGTGAGAACGCCAGCTTCATCGGCTATTCCACCAAGCAGACCCCGCTATTCGAGGACAAACAGCGGCGCCTTTTCCCTGACAGGCCGGTCGTGAAATTGAAGCAGGATATGGAGGTGCGCTGGGGATCGACCTACCAGATGGTCGTGCGTGGGATTCGACTGCGCAATGCTCTTGACTCCTTTGCGCGTCGCTTCCCGGTGAGTCCTTTGGTCACACGCGTGCTAATTGAATGCCAGGTGGGTGGGTGTGACAGTGTTATTGCCCTCGTCCCCACCCCACTTGACACGTCCCGGCCCTCAGCATTGTACATACCCCAGGCGTCCCAACACCAACTTCAGCCACCCACCCATCCACGCTCTCATGTGTCTAACCCTATAAATAACCACCTACTCCCAACTCCAACATCAGGAGGCTCGCCAGGCCCAGCTTCGCATCTCGCCCGAGCAGTGGGCCGTGCTTGAGGAAGTTGCAGTTTTCCTCAAGCCTTTCAACTTGGTGACGCTGGCGGCGGAGGGGGGGCACTATCCCACTGTTAGCCGGGTTGTGCCGCAGTACAACAAGCTGATGGACAAGCTCGAGCGTGTGCTGCACAGTCTGGATCCCCCCCCCTCTGCGTTCATCCGCGCGTGCTGCGAGGTGGCACTCCCCAAACTGGAGGAGTACTACTCCTCCAGCAGCGACGAGCTATGCGTCGCCACTTTCCTCGACCCGACAATGAAGCTCGGGTACTTCGCCAAGCCACGCGGCGAGATGTCGACGAGGGTGATAGAGCAGGTCGCCCTCGAGGCAGTCATCACTCTCGTGCGCAAGAAGTGGCAGCCGTACATGGACAAGGTGCGCGCGGCAGAGGCGGTGGCGGCAGAGCTTGGGGTAGAGGATGGGGATGACGGCGGTGGGGGGGGGGCGAGGGGGATGCTGCCATGGGGGCTACCTTTGGGGGGGATGACGACGAGGGTAGCCTGGTGAGGCACCTGGCTGCCTACCGCAGCAAGCAGTCCCAGGAGCAGAAGGATGAGATTCAGGTGTACCTCGATGAGCCGATCCTCCCCATGCGTGCTTCGCCGCTTGCGTACTGGCGACGCAGGGTCGATCTGCCAGCCTTGCAGGGTATGGCCATGGACTACCTGGCCATCCCCGCCACCTCTACGGCTAGCGAGCGGATGTTCTCGCAGGGCCGCAACCTCATCACATGGCAGCGGCATCGCCTTGGCGCAGAGTGGGTGCGCGCATGCATGACCCTCAAGTCATGGATTGCGACGCACCCGGGGGAAAGGCTTGGAGGGGTGGCAGCGCAAGAGCTGGCAGAGTTGGGGTTGGAGCTCGAGGAGGGAATGTGAACGGGGACAGCTTGTGCTCTGACAGCTACTGCCCGTGTGACTTGATCTATTTATTTGCATGCTTCTGGTGTTAGGAGGTGATGGGCCTAGCAAAAAGTTGTGTGGCCATCGCCAGTCATGATGGCACGGCACGGTGAGGCAAGGGTAGGCAGCTGTGGTTGGTTGTGGTTTTGTCACGGGCAGGGCAGCAATGAACTTGGCAGTGGCATGAGATGTGCGGGGCGTGTCACCATGTTTAGACAAGTTGGCTGCTTTGGGTGTGTGCGGGTGGACAAAGAAAAAAACTTATAGGCTATCGGCAATGTACTCATAATAGAGGGAGGGTTGCAATTTCGTTCCATCTAGGCGAACCACGTGTCAACGGCAGTGGTATGCATTGAGTGTAATCATCAGTTACACTCAGCAGGTGGGAAACTAAAGAGCCAGCCATGACCCATAGCATGGAAGGGAAATGGCATAGGACAAGGCTGATTTTTCCCTGCACATGTTCCCATTAACCCCCCCCCCCCTAAAACCCCCAGCCGCCCAGGTCAAGGAATCCTCGCCCCGGGTCAAGGAATTAATCCTCGAGGCGAGGATTTCAATCCTCGACCCCAAAAACCCGGGGGTCGAGGGGGGATTTTCATGAAAAATCCTCGGCGAGGATTCCTCGACCCGCCCCGGCTAGGGCGCGAGGATGAGATCCTCGGGTCAAGGAATCCTCGCCTCGCCCCGTGCTCATGTCTAGTGCTGACACAAGGCTGACCTTCAACCCGCAACACACCCTTCGCAGCACTGTTTACACCCTTCCACTCACCCGCTTGCTGAACTCCGGTGCCGCACCTGTGAGCAGGGTGAGGGTGCCACAGGTGCTTTTGCACCTGCTGCACCTGTGGCACCCTGACCTCCTGTGTTTACCTCCTTATGTCTGCCGCTGTGGCTTGCATGGCTAGAATAAATGAACCAGTTTCTGCCTTCGTTGCCACAACCCTTTGCACCCTTGCACTCACCCACCCATCTTCTGAGCACCAGTGCTGCTTTCGCTTCGCTGCCTTCAACCTCACCAGAAGAAGCAGCATCACTAGCAGCAGCCGCACTCTGTGCCTGCCATGGATTCATCTTTGAGAATTCTCAAAATGACTCCACAGCAGCAGCCTCACTCCGCGCCTCCTGTCCTAGCCTCCTCATCAACACTTTGCGCCATCCGCAGCTTCCGCCTTCAGCCTGAGGAGCTCACTCGGGACAGAATGAGCTCCTCTGTAGGCACAGCCTTGGCTGCCGTTCACTCACCCGCTTGCTGGTGGTGCTTTTGCACTTGCTGCACCTGTGGCACCCTCACTCTGCGCCTCCTGTCATAGCCTCCTCATCAACACTTTGCGCCACCCGCAGCTTCGGCCTGCACGGACAGAATGAGCTCCTCTGTAGAACACCCTTTGCCACCGTCCACTCACTCACCTGCTTGCTGAACACTGGTGGTGCTTTCGCCTTGCTGCCTGCCCCCCCACCAGCAGCAGTTGCAGGGTTCACCCCCTGCAGTGCCCTCACTGTGCGCCTCCTGCACCTGCCTCCTCATCTCAGCCGCCTTGGTCTGCACGGCCAGAATGACCTCCTCTACGGCACACCCTGTGCTCCCTTGTACCCTCACTCTCGCTCACCCGTTTGCTGAAGACCGGAGGTGCCTTCGCCTTGCTGCCTCCCCCGCCCTCTGCAGCGCCCTCACTCTGCGCCTCCTGCGCCTGCCTCCTCATCTTAGGCGCCTTGGTCTGCACGGCCAGAATGACCTCCTCTACGGCACACCCTGTGCTCCCTTGTACCCTCACTCTCGCTCACCCGTTTGCTGAAGACCGGAGGTGCCTTCGCCTTGCTGCCTCCCCCGCCCTCTGCAGCGCCCTCACTCTGCGCCTCCTGCGCCTGCCTCCTCATCTTAGGCGCCTTGGTCTGCACGGCCAGAATGACCTCCTCTACGGCACACCCTGTGCTCCCTTGTACCCTCACTCTCGCTCACCCGTTTGCTGAAGACCGGAGGTGCCTTCGCCTTGCTGCCTCCCCCACCCTCTGCAGCGCCCTCGCTCTGCGCCTCCTGTGCCTGCCTCCTCATCTCAGCTGCCTTGGTTTGAACGGCCAGGATGAACTCCTTCATTGCCACTGGGTCGTCCGCTCTCAACGCCAGGCCGCAGGCTGGAGGGAGGAAGAGAGAGAGTTCGGATGCAGGGTGGGTGAGGCACACGAGAGATGAGTGAGAGGAACGGCCGGAATGAGCTCCTTCGACTCTCTATGCCAGGCCGCAGGCTGGGAAACGGAAAGAGATGTTGGAAGGCAGAATGAGGGCAGGCATGGAACCTGGAACAGCCACTGGCAGGCACGTCTCGTACACTCGAGCCGCTTCAGGATTCGTGCGGGCTGCGGAACAGGAGAAAGAAAGGTTGATCGGGAGAGGGAGCGCGCAGGGAAATAAGTCGCGGGTTCTCCTCTCCACCTGCGAATTCTCAACTCTCGGATCGGATTCTCCAGCAAGGAGGAAGAGAGTTTGGAAGGCAGCATGGGGGAAAGCTTGTAATGGTAAATCAGGAATAGTCATTCAGGACTACACTGTAGCAATGAATCACAACTCACACAGTAGCAATGAATCACAACTCACACTGTAGCAATGAATCACAACTCACACTGTAGCAATGAATCACAACTCACACTGTAGCAAGTGAATCATGGCGGCCACGTCGAGCTCTCCAAACCCCTCAGTGAGACGAGACAAAAACGAGTACAGCACTTCCCTGTAACGCAGAAGGCAGGAGGTGGAGGATAAAAACGTGGGAGGACATAAAAACGGGTACATAGCAAGTGAACAGAAACGAGTACAGCACTTCCCTGAGGTGTAGGAACAAACGAGTAACGCAGAAGGCAGGAGGTAGAGGAAGGATTCAAATGCGGAGGGATAAAACGAGGTAGGAAAAACGCAGGAGGAAAAACAGCGGGAAGAAGCAGCGAAACAAAACAGCAAAAAGCAAAAACATGCAAGTTGCACGTCGGAGCTTTGACTCACGGCGCGAGCAGCTTGAAGACGTATAGGTATGCGAGCAGCATGATGAGATTGCGCAGCCCCAGTGCTTCATCTGCTTCGTATAGGGCCTGATGGGGTGGGTACACGGAGTCATGGGATGGTTGAAAAAAACGGTTTGCAAGCAGCATTGTGAAATAGCGCAGAAGCAAGGTCGCACCTGTGAGGATCAAGTTGATAGGATTAGAAATTTGAGGGCTTTACATAGTTGGAAGGGATGGAGGGGGCCCAACCAAGTTGGGAACCCAACCCCCGACTAGGGTGAGTACACCCTTATTGTAGTGGGTTGCTTATAACTACCTATGACTTATAATCGTTTTGGGCTAATAGATTAGGGCAGTGTAGTCTTACAGGGACTGCTTCGTATAACGGCTCATGGCAATGATTGCAGTGATGGCAATGATGGCAATGATTGCAGTGATGGCAATGATGGCAATGATTGCAGTGATGGCAATGATGGCAATGATTGCAGTGATGGCAATGATGGCAATGATTGCAGTGATGGCAATGACGGCAGTGATTTGAATGAAACGATGATGGCATGGGATTGTGGCATGTTCTGCGCAGTGCCACCACTGGCATGAAACCAGCCAAGCTGGTTTTAAAAATTCTAAACCTGACCTGACTGATGGGCTTCAGAGACCAACTGATGGGCTTCAGAGACCAACTGATGGGCTTCAGAGACCAGCTGATGGGCTTCAGAGACCAACTGATGGGCTTCAGAGACCAACTGATGGGCTTCAGAGACCAACTGATGGGCTTCAGAGACCAGCTGATGGGCTTCAGAGACCAACTGATGGGCTTCAGAGACCAGCTGATGGGCTTCAGAGACCAACTGATGGGCTTCAGAGACCAACTGATGGGCTTCAGAGACCAACTGATGGGCTTCAGAGACCAACTGATGGGCTTCAGAGACCAACTGATGGGCTTCAGAGACCAACTGATGGGCTTCAGAGACCAACTGATGGGCTTCACAGACCAACTGATGGGCTTCAGAGACCAACTGATGGGCTTCAGAGACCAGCTGATGGGCTTCAGAGACCAACTGATGGGCTTCAGAGACCAACTGATGGGCTTCAGAGACCAACTGATGGGCTTCAGAGACCAACTGATGGGCTTCAGAGACCAACTGTTGAGACCAAGGCTCACCTCGAAGCGAGTGACTAGGGTGGCTGCAAAGCCGATTCCAACCATTGCTGCAAGGAGGGATTGTGGCGGCCGTCTCACCTCGAACCTAGCGGCTGTTTGAGCCGACTCAAAACACACCTCGAACCTAGCGGCTCTTTGAGTCGACTCAAAACACACCTCGAACCTAGCGGCTCTTTGAGTCGACTCAAAACACACCTCGAAGCGAGTGGCGAGGGTGGCAGCAAAATTGGCAGCGAAGTCGATTCCAACCGTTGAGGCGGTTGCTGCGATGAATGCAGCAAACACTGCTGCATACCTGCATAGAGGGGGAATGCCGTTCGTTCAAGCGGGATATACTACTGTGCTGACAGCGGCTGTTAGGAAGAAAAGGGCAGAAGGGCAGAAGGGCCAGGGGAGGAAGAGGGGAGAGAGGGAAGAGAGGGGAGAGAGGGGAGAGAGGGGAGAGAGGGGAGAGAGGGGAGAGAGGGGAGAGAGGGGAGAGAGGGGAGAGAGGGGAGAGAGGGGAGAGAGGGGAGAGAGGGGAGAGAGGGAGCAAGACGCAACTGCTCATTGCCTCGCGGTGCGTTGGTGCATGCTGTGACGACCTCGTCTGTCACCAGCGCTGCAACGAGTGACCGCTTGTGGAGCTGCAGGGAGGAAAGGGAGCGAGAAGGGGAAGAAAGAGGTGGAGCTGGAGGGAACGAGGGAAGCGAGGGAGCAAGAGAGGGGGCGTTGGTGCATGGTGGTGGGATGCGATGCGATGACCTCGTGTGACGCCCGCGATGTGATCAAGGAGGGCAGGTGGGAGAGGGCAGGAGGAAGAGGAGGAGGAGGAGGAGGAGGAGGAGGAGGAGGAGGAGGAGGAGGAGGAGGAGGAGGAGGAGGAGGAGGAGGAGGAGGAGGAGGAGGAGGAGGAGGAGGAGGAGGAGGAGGAGAAGGAGGAGGAGGAGGAGGAGGAGGAGGAGGGACGGACAGTAGAGGGAGCAAGAGGGGGGGCGGTGGTGCATGCTATGATGTGATAAGCTCGTCAAACAGCAAGCAATGCAACCAGAGAGGGGCGCCTGTGAAGCTGGGTGAGGGGTGGTGAGGCGAGGGGTGAGAGGAATAAGGATGGGAAAACCAAGGTGAAGGGGTGGTGAGGGGAGGGTCGGAGGAGGTGGGGAAGGGAGGAAAGGGGGGAAGTCGGGGGAGTGAATGAGCATCTCTGAATGCCAGTGAAAAGGACGCAATCTGTGACTAGACACATGGATGACTAGACACATGGATGACTAGACACATGGATGACTAGACACATGGATGACTAGAAGTTTAACCAATTTAACGATAAGACGAGGCATCCCTGTGCTGATGCTGAAGCAGGAAGCACAGCAAGAAGCATGGCAGGAAGCACAGCAGGAAGCACACAGCTAACCCACCTGGAAGAGAGTGCTGACATCAGCGCTGATGGCATCCACGTTGGACTCTGAGAGCCGGTTCAACAGACCTGACGGAGGAGTGCGGGGTGGGGGGGGAGGGAGGAGGGGAGAAGGAGGGGAGGAGGGGAAATGACCGGAGGATGGTGGGAGGAGGGGGAGGGGAGGGGGGGGAGAAGGGGGGGGGATGGAAGTGTACTCGGGATGTGGAGATGCCTCCAGGCACACTGACTGATGGCAGCATGGCATTGTCGTACCCACCCCATCAACTCTGAGAGCGGGTTCAAGAGACCTGGGAGGGGAGTGGGTGAGAGGGGATGTGGGTGGGGGGCAGTGTGGGAGGAAGAGATAAAGCAAGCCCTCCCGTTCACTCCTCCTTGCACAGCAAGCGACTGTTGAGTAGACTAAAACGTCTCCTTGAACAGCAAACAAGACAGATCACGCCATTCGCATAAGCCTCGTTGGTTGGTTGTTGAGCAATCCAAAAAGAGCCAGCTCTCTTAAGCCTCTCCCCATCTCCATTGACTGATCTGCAGATCATTGGATTGCCATCATTGCCATCTCCGTTCACTGATCTGCAGATCATCCCTTCCCTCATTGCCATCATTGCCATCTCCATTGACTATTCTCAATTATCCCTTCCCTCGCATCGCAACGTCGGAAACATATCGGGCTTGCAAAGCACGCACCATTACATGATTACATCGACCAACGCTCGATCAAAACATCCACTCCCAGCCGTCAGATCGTGACGTCGAGCTCACCTTTCAGCCGTCCGATCACTCTCTGCTGCTCAGCAGCGTCGTCCTCCTCAGCTGCTCCTCCCACTCTTCTGCTGCCGTAGCTATTATCAAATCTCAGCCGTCAGATCTTGCAACGCAAACCTTTCAGCCGCCGGATCACTCTCTGCCGGTCGGCAGCATCGTCCTCCTCAGCTCGTCCTCAGCCGCTGCTCCCACCGCTCTTCTCAAATGAGGCGGCAGGCACTCCACTGCCTCCCCTGCTTGCGTTCTCATGCTTCTAGAAGATCTCAGCCGTCAAATCATCCAAGCCTCACCTTTCAGCCGCCGGATCACTCGCTGCCGTTCAGCAGCATCGTCCTCCTCAACCGTCCCTCCCGCTGCTCGTCTCAAATGAGGCGGCACGTACTTCACTGCCTCCCCTGCCCTTTGATTCGCACCCACACTCGTGCGCTTGACCCCTTCTGCTGCTGCTGCTTCTTTTCTCCAGCCCTGCTCCTCCTCCCACTCCTCTCCTTCTTCCGCACTTTCCTCTCTTTCTGCACCCTCCCCCTCCTCCCCCTCCTCCCCTTCCTCTCCCTCCTCATATCCATCATCTGACCATGCTCCTTCCTCTCCGAAAGAACCCATGGATCCTTCTTCTTCCTCCTCTTCCTCCACCTCCTCCCCACACTCTCCCTCCTCTCCCTCCTCTCCCTCCTCTCCTTCCTCTCCTTCCTCCCCTTCACTCTCCTCCATCTCATCCTCCTCCTCTTCCTCCTCCCCCTCTTCCACAGACTCATCATCGTCACTATAATCCTCCTCACTAAACCCGTCTAAACCCTCCTCCTCCTCATCATCATCATCCTCAGAGTCCCCTAAACCTCCCCCACCACCCCCCATCCCTCCCCACCCATCCTCATCCCCCTCCTCATCGCTCCCACCAAACCCCAAAAACCCTTCCAACCCATCCTTAGACCCCGGTAAAACCCCGCCTTTCACATTCAGCTTCTTGGCGAGCATCCTCTCCTCCTCCTCCTCCTCAACCACCGTCATCCCTCCGTTCTTCTCCATCTCTAGCATGCGCTCAAAGTTGGTCATTCTCCTCCTCTTCCCCTCCCTCTCCTCCCCACACTTCCCCTCCCTCTCCTCCCCACTCTTCCCCCCCTTCCCCTTTTCCTTCCGCTCACTCTTTCCCTCCTTTTCTTTCCCACTCACTCCTGCCGCTCCTCCCTTTGCCCCATCCCTGGCCTTTCCTAATCGCTCTTCCTTCTTCCCCTTCTTCCCTCCCATTACACCCACGTCGTCCCCTCTCACTGCTTCCTTCTCTCGCCTCCCCACCTCCTGTGCTTTTCTCTTACCTCCAGCCTTCGCCTCACCTCCTAACTCCCCACCTACTAGCTCTCTCCCTCGCTTCTCCTTCCCCGTCTTGCTGCTTAAACCCTTTAACGGGGATATGCGTTCCTCGTTACTGTCACCTCCGCTGCCGCCCAACCCTCTAGCACTTTGGCCTTTTCCCCCTGCTACAGAGCCGCTTTGTCCTGTCCTAACGTCCTCTCTCGTTCCGCCATACTTTCCGCCCACCCTCTCTTCCCCGCCAAAACCTTCCTTCCCCACCTGCGCTTTCCCTACTCCTCCCGCGCCCCCCGCGCCCCCTGAGCCCCCCTCGCCCACTGCCTTCCGCCCCGCCGCGCGCTGTTGCGCCCATTCCTGCCGCTGCTGCTGCTTCTGCTGCCGCTGCTGCCGCCGCTGCTCCTTCCGCGATAAACCCCTTTTGCGCGCGGAGCCCGAAACCCTGCTAGAATCCTCATCTGCGCAGAATGGAAAAAGGGTTTGGGGCGTCTCTCCATGACAAATACAAACCAAGCTTGAAACGGCTTGAAAAAAACGGGGCTTTAAGGTGGGTTGCCTTGAAAACGAATTGGCAATCTGAAACGGGAATTTCCAATGGCAGTCAGTAAGTAGCGCGAACTGACTATTCAGGGTTTAGTGGGACCTATGACGTTCCACGGTTCAGTCACGGAGCGGGAGTGGTTCGTAGGCAGCCTACCAGATAGCGCCACGTCATCATCATCGTCGTCATCGTGCGGTTCTTGGAGCTGCTGCTGGAGGGCGAAGGGCAGCGACGGGCCACGTGGCGCGAATCGGCCTCTCGGGGCCATCTGATACTCCCTAGGTGTGACTAATCAGAAGTGATACTACTGGAAACAGAACGTACAGAGCCTACTAGCGAGATGGGCCACGTGGCGCGAATCGGCCTCTTGGGGTCGTCTGATATACCTAGAACGTGCCGAACTAAGTCGACTGAAGTCGACTAAATGCGATCCTAGGTGTTCCTTTCAAGTCGAGTAAGAATCACATCGGCGTACCGAAGTTTTCTCTGAGTGATATTTCTGCAGACAGATTGGTGCCAAGTGTTTTCTTTTTTTAATCCGCCAGACGCGCATATGGTGTGGACGGAAGAACCAACTTGGCAAACGTACGCGCAACTAGCTCGCACGCCTCGTGGTGAACGCACCTAGTAATACTCGCCTTAACGAAACTCGAATCTCACATCAATACCACATTCAAGGGGCTGGTACGGGGTAGTGACTTGGATTCAGCTACCCATGGTGGAAGCAGCAAACGAGTTAAAACCCGCGGCCCAAATCGTTCAAACGCACTGCGTATGAACTTTGACCCTCAGGCTGTACGAAATACGCTGGAAAATCGCGAGGGCATTTGCTCTCTCAAATTCAACGCTTGTCGTGAACCGTCAGATTTACAAACACACAGTTGACGGATGAGATTACCTTTCGACTGACTGGGGGAAGTGCTTGGCTTACGCGCCGTCAGATGAAAATCTGGAAAAACTGGACGGTTGAAAAACGCAACTTTCAAACGCACTGCGTTTGAAGGCCACGCCTCGCAATTTGGGCCGTGGGTTTTAACAATTGCACGCACCATACGCACCATCTACAGTAAGACTGCACATAAATTTAAGATTCCAAATGAATGTTACAAATGCTTCACCCAGAAGCTTACAACTCTGAAACAATTTCTAAGATTTTAAAACATTGCCCAGTCCTCCCAAAACTTCCTCCGAGATCCACATCTGGCTTCAAATCGCGGCAACGGTGGCCTGGCCGCTGCGCATGCGCGCCAAACTTGCACGCTCACACCTGCCAAAGCCACGTCTTCTCCCAAGGCTTCCAGCTTCCAAGCTCTCGCCTTCTAAACAGTGCCAGCAGCTGCAGCAGCAGCAAGGCTTGCTTCGTACGCCGCCCAGCCAGCCTCCCGATACTTCCTGGCAGCTTCCAGCGGGTCCGCTGCCTTGATAATTCCCCGGCCCACAATTATGATGTCGGACCCTCGCTCCTTGATCACCTGGCCAAGGAGGGGGTTTGGGGAGGGACGGGGTGGGGGGGAGGGAGGGAGGGGGGGGAGGCACAGTGGGTCAGTCAGCCACATTAATCATTCCCCAGCCAACTATGATGATGTCGGACCCTCGCTCCTTGATCACCTGGGCAAGGAGGGGGTTGGGGGGGAGAGGGAGGGGGGTGGCGTCTTGCGCTGCTGCCCCAAGCGTTCTCCCCAGCAGCCAGCTGCACCCCAGGGGTCATGTGCCACACCCCAGCTGCACCCCAGGGGGCGTCCCACAACCCTGCTGCCTCCGCCTGCTTCACCGCTGCTGCTAGCTCTGTGCATGCGCCACTGCTGGCAGCTGCTGCCGCTAGCTCCGCACACGCATGAATGCTCCCCAGTGCTGGAGGCTACTACATACAGGTGCTTACCGCTTGTGGTGTGTTGTACTGCTGGCCCAGTGCATCCCCTCCTGCGGCCAACTGGACCCCCGGCGTCATGTGCACGAGGGTGTCCCACACCCCTGCTGCCTCCGCCTCCTTCACTGCTGCTGCTAGCTCCGCACATGCGCCACTGCTGGCAGCTGCAGCAGTGTCGCCATTCCTCCACCCCCCTGGGTTGATGGAGATGAATCCGATCACGTATTCGGGATCGGTGAGAGCCATTCGCAGCGTGGCTGCAGTGTAAGTGGAGTGGGCCAGCGTGCCCGCAGAACTCATTTCGGCCAAGAGCAGGAGAGAGCCGCCCTGCAAGTAGGAGAGAGGGGGGGAGAGAAGGGGAGATGGATCCGATCACATACTCCGGCATCTGTGAGGGCCATTCGCAGCGTGGCTGCGGTGTAGGTGGAGTGAGCTAGCGTGCCAGCTGAGCTCATTTCGGCCAAGAGCAGGAGAGAGCCGCCCGGGCATGAGGAAAGGGGGGGGAATGAATGAAGGGACACAGCACGGGATAAGTAAGCCGCAGAGCAGTGTCACCGTGCCTCCATGGCTTGGCAGTAGCCCTTACAGTAGCCACCATTTTTTTCTTCTTCATATTTTCCCCTTATAAAACGGTATCGAGTTAAACAGTCATATAATACGAAAGAAACGGTGGGAAAACTGTTTTTCAGGCTGGTTAAAAAAAAGCGGCCGACATTTCCCAAAGTCTGCAAAACAAAAAACGGCGAAATGCGCGGATCTGGCACTTCGTCCAGCGAAATGTGCCAGATGTTGCGGTTTTTTTTGTGGACGAAATGAACGGATCTGACTTTTGAGTCGACTCAAAAGTCGACTCAACATGTCACAATGAACGGATTGTTTCGTTACAATGTCACACAACACCTTCTGGTGGACGAAATGAACGGATCTGACATTTCGGCACCCGGAATGTGCGATCTCGCATTTGGGCGGACGAAATATGCGGATCTGGCGGACGATTAGGTTGCCTACCAAAAAATAAGGAAAAAAAACGTTTGGACTGTTCTATTTTAAAAAACGGCGTTTTTTCCCCAAATCCCTGAAACAAACGGCCGTATGATACGGACCGTGTTTTTCAAAAACCGTATTTTTTAACCTTGGTAGCCGCCGCATCCCCCGCCCATACCTTCTGCTTCAAGCCCTTGATGATTCCTTCCCCCAGCACGCCATGCGCGTTGATGGTACCTTACCGTTCTCTTACACCCCCATACACCTTGTGAGTAGGACCCAAAGTAGCCCGGTACCTTACCGATCTTTTATTCCCCCCATACAGCTTGGGAGCAGCCCCCCGAACTAGCTCCGCCCCACCCCTACCGTCTACTTCAGCCCCTTCGTGATGCCTGGCCCCGGCATGCCATGCACGTTGATGATGTATCCATGGCCCTTGCCGTACCTTCACGACCACCATGCAGGTTATACCCCCACCAAACCCATACCTTCTGCTTGAGCCCCTTGATGATGCCTGGCCCCGGCACGCCATGCGCGTTGACGATGTCAGCCCACTCGGAGATCTTGTAGATGCCGCTGCAGCGATGAGGGGGGGGCGACGGGGAGAGGGGGATGAGGGGGAGAGGGACAACAAGGAGGAAAGAGGCACATACGCTATCAGCCCACTCGGAGATTTTGTAGATGCCGCTGCAGGGACGAGGGGAGGGGGGCGATGGGGAAAGAGAAGGGTGCGGGGAGGAATACTGTCAGGCAGGCAGGTGGGGCACAGCCGTAATCCCCTCAACCCGTGCCTATCTCATGTGTTGTGCAGCTTAACGCAAATCTACGCGACACCTTCAAGATGTGTCTCAGTCGTGATCCCAACGAATGCCCGACCATCGAAGAGATCCTCAATCACTCGTATGAGTGCGCGTCCTCCAACCATGCCCCGCATGACTTTTGAGTCGACTCAAAAGTGCGCGTCCTCCAACCATGCCCCGCACGACTTTTGAGTCGACTCAAAAGTGCGCGTCCTCCAACCATGCCCCGCATGACTTTTGAGTCGACTCAAAAGTGCGCGTCCTCCAACCATGCCCCGCATGACTTTTGAGTCGACTCAAAAGTGCGCGTCCTCCAACCATGCCCCGCATGACTTTTGAGTCGACTCAAAAGTGCGCGTCCTCCAACCATGCCCCGCATGACTTTTGAGTCGACTCAAAAGTGCGCGTCCTCCAACCATGCCCCGCATGACTTTTGAGTCGACTCAAAAGTGCGCGTCCTCCAACCATGCCCCGCGTGCTGCCACCGCCTCTGCTGTGCGACCACCTCAAGCCAACGTGTGCTTGAGTTGGTGTCGCCAACGTGTGCTTGAGGTGGTCGCACAGCAGAGGCGACGACAGCATACGGGGCAAGCTTGGAGGATGCGCTCGCATACGGGTGGTTGAGTAGCTCTTCGATGGTGGGCCGTTTGATGGGATCACGATTGAGGCAGATCTTCACGGTGCTGCGAAGATTCGCGTTGCGCTGCACATGAGGATTCGCGCTTCGCTGCACATGAGGTAGGCACGGGGTGAGAGGATGACAATCGGAGGGACGGCGCATGGTAACCGCATTGTTCTCGCCCGCCGTATTGCATGGTAACTGCATTATTCTCACCCGCCGTACTGCATGGAAACCGCATTATTACTCACCCGCCGTACTGCATGGTAACCGCATTATTACTCACCCGCCGTACTGAATGGTAACCGCATTATTGCTCACCCGCCGTACTGCATGGTAACCGCATTATTGCTCACCCGCCGTACTGCATGGTAACCGCATTATTACTCACCCGCCGTACTGCATGGTAACCGCATTATTACTCACCCGCCGTACTGCATGGTAACCGCATTATTACTCACCCGCCATACTGCATGGTAACCGCATTATTACTCACCCGCCGTACTGCATGGTAACCGCATTATTACTCACCCGCCGTACTGCATGGTAACCGCATTATTGCTCACCCGCCGTACTGCATGGTAACCGCATTATTACTCACCCGCCGTACTGCATGGTAACCGCATTATTACTCACCCGCCGTACTGCATGGTAACCGCATTATTACTCACCCGCCGTACTGCATGGTAACCGCATTATTGCTCACCCGCCGTACTGCATAGTAACCGCATTATTACTCACCCGCCGTACTGCATGGTAACCGCATTATTACTCACCCGCCGTACTGCATGGTAACCGCATTATTGCTCACCCGCCGTACTGCATGGTAACCGCATTATTACTCACCCGCCGTACTGCATGGTAACCGCATTATTACTCACCCGCCGTACTGCATGGTAACCGCATTATTACTCACCCGCCGTACTGCATGGTAACCGCATTATTACTCACCTGCCGTACTGCATGGTAACCGCATTATTACTCACCCGCCGTACTGCATGGTAACCGCATTATTACTCACCCGCCGTACTGCATGGTAACCGCATTATTGCTCACCCGCCGTACTGCATGGTAACTGCATTATTACTCACCCGCCGTACTGAATGGTAACCGCATTATTACTCACCCGCCGTACTGCATGGTAACCGCATTATTACTCACCCGCCGTACTGCATGGTAACCGCATTATTGCTCACCCGCCGTACTGCATGGTAACCGCATTATTGCTCACCCGCCGTACTGCATGGTAACCGCATTATTACTCACCCGCCGTACTGCATGGTAACCGCATTATTACTCACCCGCCGTACTGCATGGTAACTGCATTATTACTCACCCGCCGTACTGCATGGTAACCGCATTATTACTCACCCGCCGTACTGCATGGTAACCGCATTATTACTCACCCGCCGTACTGCATGGTAACCGCATTATTACTCACCCGCCGTACTGCATGGTAACCGCATTATTGCTCACCCGCCGTACTGCATGGTAACTGCATTATTACTCACCCGCAGTACTGCATGGTAGCCACATTATTACTCACCCGCCGTACTGCATGGTAACCGTGTTGCCAATGTCTGCAAACTTGCGGTCCTCAAACACCAAAAAGTCCAGGCGGGTGGCGATCTGCATGTGGCGAGAGAAGGGGTTGGGAAAGGGAAGCGGCGAGCAGAGCGGAGAGAGAGCAGAGAGAGCAGTGAGATCAGTGAGAAGGAAGGAGAGAGGGAGCAGAGGAAGGGAGCCACCACTGCTCGTCACCAAACAAAGCCACTCAGCACCGCACAGCACCGCATACCACTGCCACACAGCACCACTCACCTCTCGGATTCTCTTGCCGAACTCAGGAGTGAAATCAGGCAGAATGTCCACGTGGGTTTTGAGCACGCAGATCTCAGAGCCAATCTGTGTAAGGGTGTGCACACCGTGGTTTGGGGGATACGGGGGGGAAAAGGGTGGAACAAGCAGGGTTTAGGCGGGCAGCGATGGCAGAATGTCCACGTGGTTCTTGAGCACGCAGCTCTCAGACCCGATCTGCAAAAGAGGGAAAGGGAGCGGAAGTTAGGTGGGCAAGGGAGTGGGAGTTCGGTGGGAAAGGGAGTGGGAGTTAGGAGGGCAAGGGGGATAAGAGGGGTTTAGATGGGCAGAGCGATGGGGCATGGCAGAGTGTCCACATGCATCTTGAGCGCGCAGATCTCAGACCGGATCTGACAAGAACGAGGAAAAGAAAAGGAACGGGGAGAGGGCGAGGAAGAGGAGCGAGAAGAGGGGGCAAGGGTGTGGAGAGGTATATTTTTTAGGCGCCTTAAAAATAGACTCCTCGTCACACATGAAGAGGAGCGAGAAGAGGAAGCAGGGGTGGGGGGGGGGGGGAAGACGGGCCGTGGCAGAGTGGTCAGATGGGTGCCGCCGAGACCGCAAAAGAGAAATCAAGCGAGCCTGCATTCAATTAAGTTCACAACTTCACAAAACGCGTGGTTTTGGAGTCGCTTAGCGCCGGTACACACGGGTTTTCGGGTTCAGGGTTTACAAGTTAGGGTGTTCGGGATTGGCTGAGAGGAGGGGGAAGGGGGGAAGGGGCGTACAAAAGTGGGGGGGAAAGGAGAACATTGGGAAAAAGGCTTCATTTAACCATTACGGCGTTGCATGTCGCTGGAAATTGGCAGGGTTTCAGCGTTCTATGAGTGGAAACCTTGGCCTATTCTCTCCTTCCCCTTCCACCCCCTGTCCTCCCCCTTGCCCTTCCGTCAGCCTCCCCCCCACCACCTTCATCCCCCACAACCCCTATTTTCCCCTCCCCTCACCCCCCACCCCCCCTCCCACTCCTTCTCCCCCCAAGTACTTCCCCCTACTCCCCCCTCGCCCCTTTCCTCTACCCCCAGCCTCTCACCGTTTCCGCCAGATTGAGCAGTTCTTCCGCCGACTCCACGTCAGCAGCCACCGACAGGTTTGTCTTTTTGCGCTCCATGATCTCCCACAGCCGCCGCCCCACCTCGTTCTTCGCCAGGTCCGCGCGAGCGGCGTACGACTTTCGCGAAACCACAGCTGGCGAAGGGGCGGCTGTTACCGGGGAAACTGTCGCAGCAGGCGCGGGGGCAGCGCCGGGATTCGCGGTTTGATTTTCCGCGATGAACTTCGTAACGGACTCTGCCACGTCATTCGTCAGCTTGCCGTGCTTGACCAATGCTGTCACGACATGTGTCAAGGTGAGCGCCGCGTGGAGCCGCAGACCCCGCGCCGCCAGATGGGCGGCGCCGCCTTGTTCCCTATCGATAAGGACAACCACGTCCGTTACGTTCAACCCGACTTCGTTTAGCGGATCTACGGTTTCCATCACGGACGCTCCGCTTGTAACGAGGTCCTCTATAACGAGGCAGTGCTGGCCGGTTTTGAAGGCCCCTTCGATGGCCTTCCTCGTTCCGTACCCTTTCACCTCCTTTCGCCGCATGACCATGGGCACGTTTCGCGAGAGCGAAATGGCCGTGGCGATGGGTAACGCGGTGTACGGCACGCCGCAAACGACGTCGAATTTCGCAGCGGCGTCGGACTCGCCGACAACGGACGGGCAGACTAACGCCCACATCGCGTCCGCGACCTGCTGCAGAAGATTCGGATACGATACGATCACGCGAAGATCTATGTAAATCGGCGACCAGATTCCGCTCTTGAGTTTGAAATTGCCGAATTTCACGGCTTCGACCTCGTGCAGCGCGAGCACGAGCGCATCGGACGGATCGGCCATCGCGGGAAGCGGGCAGTAGGGGGTTTCGACGAGATCCGACGGTCGAGATTCGTCGCCGGCGAGGACTGTTTGGCTCGATGCGCCGGTCACGGGGGCGGCGCTGGCGGAAGGCTTATTCCGCGCGTGACCGGAAGGGGATTGCGCGAATGGGGCTTGTTGTTCCGCGGGATACGCTTTCGCGAAACCGCAGGTTCCGCGGGAAATAGAGCTCGCGCGCGCGCGCGACAATGCAGGGGAGCGGGACGCGGACTCCGCGTTCGAGGCGGAAGAGGCGCTAGTTCGGGAAGTAAGGAGGCGCGAGGTGGGGAGAGAAGCCATTAACTAAAAGCTAGAAATAGAGGTTGCACTCCATTGAATAGGTTGGGCGGGATGGCCAGAGGTGGGGCGCGGGAGAAAGGGAGGAGTCCGAGCCAAGGGGGGGGTAGGGGAGAGGGTCTTGGGATTTGGGAGGGATGACGTGTGCTTGCTGACACGAAACTCCACAACAAAGCTCACTTTGTACTCCTTACAGGCACAGGTCTACGAGGTTTGAGCTTAGAGGGTTTGTAGCAATAGAAACTTCAAAATATAACGAATCACCATTTACGAACAAGCGTCATGGAAAAATATCCCATCATTCATTAGCTTGACATTACTCGACCTTGACCTTCCACATTTTGTGAACCCGAAACCCTTATTCACCACAACTCAGCTGCCACCACGTATGTTCCCCGAAACAATTTTTAAATTCCTCCTCCACTCGACCCGACTCTCCCTCCCCGCTCCTGCAGTGCCACCCATGGCAACGCTTCCCATGCCATGCCAGCGACTGTGCCTGTGTCACATCCTCCTCCCAGTGCTGCTCCCCCTTCACAAAACCCCTCAAAATCCCAAGGTGTAGAAGAATCCATGGCTGGGAAAATAGTGTACTGAATAAAACTGCCCCGAAAATACATGCAGACAGGCTGACTCACCCTGACTCACCCTAGTCCCCCTGTATCTCGTCTCATACCCTTGCCATCTTCACCTAGTTTTCCCTCCCCTCCCTCCTCTCCCCCTTTTCCCCCTCCATCCTCCCCATCCCCACATTGCGCACGGCAATGCTTCCCATGTCTGAGACTGTGCCTCTGAGGTGACTTTTGAGTCGACTCAAAAGTCACTTCACTCTCCCCATCCCCGCAGTGCCCATGGCAATGCTTCCCATGTCTGCGGCAGTGCCTCCGTCTCCTCTCCTCCGCCCAGTGCTCCCACCTTCACCATTTCCCTCCGCTTCCATTGGTGGAGTGGAGTCCATGGCTGAGGTCCTCTTAGTCTAACCTGAAAATCCCCCAGAGAATAAGTGTGGACAGGCCGACTCGCCCTTATAGAGAGGGACCAGCTTCCCCCGTCTCACTTCTCACACCCGTGTCTTCTCCCCTTGACTCTCCGTCCCTTCCCTCCTCTCCCCCCTCTCCCTCCCCTTCCTCCTCTCCCTCCCCATCTCCACAGTGCCCGTGGCAATGCCTCCTATGTCTGTGACTGTGCCGCCGTCTCCTCCTACCAGTGCCCGCCCCTTCGCCATTCCCCTCCACATCCTCCGGTGGAGAGGAGGAGGAATGAGCAGACCCATTTGCACCTGCTACTGCTCCTCTTGCCCCTCCTCCTCCTCGCCCTGAGGTACCACCATCTGGGTCGCCTCCTCCCATGCCCATAGCATCATCTCGCCCTCTTCCCACCCCGTTGTTACCACTCTCGTTGTTGTCACTGTCACTGTCACTGCTGCTACTGCTGCTGCTGCTGCTGCTCTCGCCAAAGGGCCGTTGCTTGTGGAAAATGCAGCACTCTGTATGGGGGACGTGGGGAGGGATAGAAGAGAAGTGTTCCAGAAAAATGGCATCAAGACCAGCCTCACAAGCAGTACCTGCTTTGAGGCGCTTCAAATCAAACATGAGAATTTCTCCTTGTGGAGAATGCAGAATTCTATATGGAGGACGTGGCATGAATGGGTACATGGATAGAAGTGATGGGTCTTAGTCACAGAACGAGCCAGTTCGACCTGCACAAGCAGGGACAGCGTTTTTAAACGCCTCAAACCACACAATCTCGTCAAAGGGGTGGCTTCCCTGCAGAAAATGCAGCACTCTGTATAGGGGACGTGGGGATGGATGCAGGATTGGTCTTCAGTCCCCAGTATCCGTGAGCCAAAGCCTGTATAAAAGGTACTTAAAACCGGGGTCTTGATTGGCTGCGAGGTTGACTGTCTCGTAAGCCAATCGAAATCGAAATTGAAGGGGATGGGAGAGCGTGAATCGTAAACGAAATTCCAGGGGGGCATTGTGGGTTGCGGGGAGGAATAGTGGGGCGCGAATCAGCATGAAAACATTCGAAAACGGGCCCCGGGGAAATCGAAATCGAGGGGGGAGGCGGAGAAGAAATGCAGTGGGGGAAAATTTTGCAGGCAAAATGCGGACTTGGGAAGGTGGAGGGGGGGGGGAGGGGAGGGGGGGGGGAGGGAAAACGTGAGGGTGTTACGCGGGTGCTCGTTGTCTTACTCTTCCCTCACTCACTCCACTGCCCTCTCCATCTGAGCTCGGTGATGTAGAAACTCCCTGTTTGTGATCTTGTCAATGTGACGTAACAAAACAGAGACTCACTTTTGGACTTCATCTGGTCCATGTGCTCGTTGTCCACGGTTCCTTCACTCCACTGCACTCTCCATCTTCGTACAGTTCGAGCAGAACCTAACTGTTAGGTTCTGGTTATGTGTTCATGGTTATGTGCCATAACGAAAACTCACTCTTGGACTTCTTCTTGCCCATGTGCTCGTTGTCCACTGTTCCCTCCGTCCACTGCACTCTCCGTCTCGGCGCCAATCGGATCACCACTTGATCTACCACGGCTGTTTGGACGGCCAAGATTGAATGAACAGCGCATGCACGGCAACAGATTGAGGTGAAAAGGGAATTGGACTGGACGTGCTGATTGGACCACCACTTGATCAATGTGTTGGACGGTCAATGTTGAACGCACAGCAGGGGTATGGACATGCATTGGGATAGAATCGGAAGGAGATGAGACAAGAGCCCCAATCCACTCAAGAGGACAAGGAGAAAAGTCGGATGCAGCACGTTTGTCGGACACAGACCAATCCTTGTGACACGGAAACCTAAGATTTTCCAGGCAAGCGGAAAGACCGTACTCAGAAAGAGGAGGCGGGGGGAGTGGGGAGGAGGAGGAAGGGTGCGAGCAGACGCTACAAAAGCGAACCTAAGATTGTCCAGGCAAGCGGCAATGAGGAGAGCTCAACACCTAAGAATTTGAAATTCGAGGCCGAAACGGAATTGTCGTTTCGAGGAGCCTCAAAAACGGAGTGCGCAGCACCGCTGGAATCCGTTACCTGTTTGCTCCGTTACTGTGACCGCAGCTGCACTCCGTGTAGCCGTTTGGTTAGCCATGCTGCGAGGTCCCGTCAGGAACGGACAATAACGGCAGGACAAGCGTGACGAGGTGCCTAAGCGAGCGACTTTTCAGTCGACTCAAAAGTCGCCTCTAAGCGTGTCTGATTTCAGCTAAACGGACACGATGAGTATGAAAAGAGTACGAGGAAGAGTTTCTACGTCACGACTAGATCGGACAATCGAAACCAATAGGGTCGTTAGGCTGATATTGAAAGGAAATTCTAGCTAGCTCGGCAATTACGGTCCATAATTCACCAGTAGGACTGACCTCTCTAGAGACTATGCGTGAGCCACCAATATTTATTCCCGATATAACGTTTGTATGTGGTAGCAGAACGGAGCCGAACTTCCATGGAACGAAAACTGTAGATGTTTGCGAAGAGACACCACGAAAAAATTGGCACTTTCGTCAGGGCTGCAAACCTCGCCAGCACCAGCATTTTCCCGTGCTTGCTTCGTTCGCGCTTCCGAACCAGCCAACCAGGGGATCTCGTGTGCCGAACCTATCCCTCGAGCTCACCATGGGTGTGATTACGATGTCTCGTGATATGTATGGCTCCCAACGGATCTGAACCCTTGACCGCCCCATCCGTTAACATTCAACGGCAGTCGCTGGCCGGGAGAGACAGCTTGTTTTGATTTTGAATTTTGAATTCGCGATGTTCTGCTTCTGAGTCAGGCAATGGCTTCGAATTATGAGTAGCTCTATTTCTTTTCTCTCTTCTGAACTTCTTTGAATTTCCCCACTCGACAGGCTAACGAGGGCGACTAAACTCGGGTTGATAGTGATACTACCATCACCTTGGTCCTGTTAGGAAGGCTTTATTCCTGCCGGAATGGAGAAACCGCAGGTTGGGAGTCCAGAAGCGGGCTGTTCTGATTAATGACGACGAAAGCGAGTAGCTAAGCGAGTCCAGCAGCTCTAGTGACTCTTGTAACGAAACGGACAGCGACAGCGACAGTGAATGCAATTGCGATAGCCGGCGATAGTAGAAGAGTAGGGATACTGTTGACAGCGACAGCACCAGTTTCTGGGGGGTGGACGAAGGCGAAACTTTTGTCGATGGCGAGAGGCCCTTATTCCAGCAATGCCAGGAATCGAACGAGCTCCAGATGCAGAGTGTCAAACGATGCGAGCTCAAAGAGTCTGGGAAAGAAGGCCGCTGACAATTTGAACGATCGTCGAAGGTGTATTTCGACTTCCGATGCGTACACGAAGGCCTTTTCCTTGATTCGGAGTACGTCATCCATGTCTTTCCAACTAGTTCGGAGTTGGTAACAACTGAACACACCCTTGCAGATCGCAACTAACGCGCTGAAAGCACCGATTGTACCTTCCCGAGAAGAATATACTAAATGCTACCTGGTGACTCTGACTGCAGCGGGAGAATGGAGCAAACTGACGATCGACCTTTGCAAGGCTTACCTCAGACATCACGGTCTACGTTTGAGCGACCCTAAGGCGGAACTGATCAATCGCATCCAGAAGCATGCGGAGTACGTCTCTCAAAGGGTGACATGCATCAGTGTTTCAGAAGCTCTTGCAGTTGAAGCAATCGCGATAGGCGTATCCAAAGGATGCAGAATCAGTTGTTCGTGTGGACACTTCAGATCATCAACACGCTCAGCTGTCTCTGCATGTGTCCTTCTTTTATTCATCTCTTAACAGGCTTAGAGACTTCACTTCAGCCAAGCGCAAGTACCCTCGAGGCTCTTTCTGCATCAACTGTACAGGTAATCAGGTCTTCTTATCCTACCGCCAGTAAGAGTGGCTAATGGTAGCTTGTGTTGATTACCCCTGTTTTGTCATGTCTCCTCCAACATTCTAAAGGTGACGTTTGCAGACATGATACCGTCCTCTTCAAGCAGCTAATTCCCCAACAGTAAGATCAACTTATGCAAGCGTTCCTGATGATACCTTGTGCCAATAACTCTTTCTTGTGCCACGTGGCCTTCAACCTTTTACAGGTGACGTTTGCAGGCAGGATACCGTCCTCTTCAAGCAGCAAATTCCCCAAAAGTGAGATCAACTAATGCAAACCTTCGTATGCAGTAAACTACATTTCTCACGTGTTTGATTCAATCAAGTGCTTCGTTGACAGTGCATTCAATGGTCTGTGCAGGCACAACAATGAGTCAAATTATCCAGGGTATCGCTTGGTGGCGGGGAGAGTGGTGAAGGAGAGCTATGGCGTCAAGAAGCAACAGCACACCTTCACTGTAAGCACTTCCGCTTTCTAGCAGCAGCGGACTGTAATGGGATGATCGCATTTCGACTGACAAATTAACAGGAAGAGTGGCCAAGGAGAGCTGACTTTTAAAGAAGCAACAGCACACTCTCGCTGCAAGCACGTCCACTTCTATTTTAATCGCAAGGTCGCTGTTACTATAAAAAACGATCTCTCAGTACACCTTTTGCTCTGTTGTTGGGGCTCTGATCCACGGAATGTTTTTTGCAGGTGGAGGTCATTTGGAGCTCGGGCATGCAGCCGTTGCCTCCAATGACTCAACTTCTTGTCAAGGGGAGAGTGCTCTACAGACATAAAACATACCGCCAGGTAACTTCACGTGGTCATAATTTCACATGGTCCTAATTGCAACTGATCATACTTTCAAATGAAAAGAACATGAGGTCGCACGCCAGCAACAACCTAAAAAAATCACTTTCAGAATGAGCACTCAACTTGTTGCTCTCCAGATCAGATTCATCAGCCCTTTCTCCAATGACTGTCCTGACTCTCTTCCGTTTCTCCCGTTTCGCCCATTTATCCCATTGCGGCTGCTGCTGCCGTCTATGCCTGCAGAAATGGCCCAATGAGGCGGAACGAGTAGCAGCCGTTGTAGAGAAGCATGCAAGAGGAGACGAGGCTCGCAGTGTCCGCCTAAAGCGGCTTGAGAACAAGCCATCCGGAAGGCGACTAGAGAGCAAGCAAAAGAGAAGGGCTCTAGGGAAATGGCCGAGTACAAGACGGGGACCACAGGGACTGTCAAGTCGTCCCCTCCCCGTCAGCAGTAGGAGGGGGAAACGCCCACGGTCTGGAACAGGGTGAGCTCCACTCACGGTGGTGCCTGAGCATGTATGCTTGCTAAATATCCGTGCTTGAGCAAGATATGCTTGGTGAAGGCCTGTGCTTGAGCAGAGACGGGCAGAAGGGTCTGCGTAGGAAGTAGCATTAGGGTGAATGCACTACATGAAGGGCACGTTTCTGTTTGAGCGGTTGGTCCTGTTGCACCGCTTCTACCCCATTCCTCTCTACCCCTCCCATTCAATCCTCTCTCTCACTCATGCGCACACACACCCATGCATCCCTCCCAATTTGCAGCATGCCTTTGGATTCTCTCTTCTCCCTGTATTTTCAAACACTCTCCCTACCTACCCTCTCATCCCAAATCCACCCTTCTCTTTACCGCCCTCTCCTCTACCCCCCTCCCTCTTCCACTCTCTCTACCACTCTCTCACCACTCTACCACTCTCTCATCCTAGTTTCTTGCACTTCGCTTCCCCCATCACAACTAAGCGGTCTGCTGGTCACAGTCAAGCCAAGAAAAAGGTCAAACACGAGGTGACTTTCGAGCGAACTCAAAAGTCATTTGGCTTCCCTTCCCCCATCACAACCAGGTGGTCTGCTGGTTACAAGCAAGCCAAGAAAAGGAAGGTCTAACACGTTTTGGTTTCCTGCATGCAGTGAAGTGCAGGAATGCTGCACAGTGAAGGACTAGCTGTTTTATGTATGGAATGGAAAGGCATGGTACACTTGCACTCTGAAAGGAATGTTGTTACTGGTGCTGGATTTGTGAGTAGCAGTGCTGTTGAAAGTACATCAAAAGACTTAAGCGTTTCTGAAGTGTAACACTACACTCGAGAAAGATTGCAAGGGGTACGCGAGTCAACGGAGGTTACACGAGGGGGTGGACAAAGAACACGAAGGGTCTGGGACTCAAAGGGTCACAACTGGAGGTTGCGACTGACCGTTACAACAGCACGGATGGTAACCGAAGCGACAATCGAGTCGCTGTACGACTCGATAAACCGCTGTTGCAACTGTACTCTACAATTGTTTTCTTATCTTCTATATATTGCTGTATGTTTGCTTCTTTAATCAATCACTTGTTCTCACATACTAGTACAAGGGTTCAACCGTCTCAACTTCCGCTGCACTACTCAAAGTCTCAAGTCTTTACAGCTGGGACTTCGTCTCTGGAAAGATCCTAAGGGCTTTTTCTCAGCCCAACAAGTGCAAACTCGGACATTAGAGGGAGAATGCATGCGGTACGCAGGTCAGTGCATGTATCAACTAGCCAATGCCTTGCAAGAACAATTTTAACTGTCCCCCATTGCATTCTCCTAAACCCATGCGCTATAGAAAGTTGGCTTTTTAGCACAATGAATCATAGGATCTAGAGGCTAGCCATTATTGATTCGATTAGGCCAATTCGAATTGACTTTCTACAATCATCACATTGAAGAACATTCCACAATGGTATGCACCATACAGGAACCTCCATACCGAGTAGTCTGAATTTAGTCACCCAAATTTCACCTTTCTGAATTTCACCTCCCAGAAAATGCTCAGCCTTCAGAGCGCGAAGTCTCGGGATATTCTGAGCGTTTGCTTGGAGTCTAGGGGTTTTCTCGGAGGAACCTTGCTACATTGCTTCAGTGCTAGTCGGAGGAACCCCAGAGATTCCCGCCGCTTCTGGCGCGTTCGGGCAGGCGAAGAATATAGAGTGACCAAGCGATTCTCGCTGGCGTTTTTCTGCCTCGCCCCGACTAGATCGCGATCAGTTTCCTGCCCTTGAAATATGAATCGAGCAACTTGTAGGGAAAAAGCTCCGTGCTTCTGTCTGCCTCCCCTAGCGCTCGTCGAGACACTCATTCTTCCGCAAGGAGGCACGCTATTTTCGTAGGACTCTGAAAACGCGATCTGACCATGCGGGCAGCGGAAGTCAAATTTCTCGCGCCGAAGCCCTGCCCGAACCCTCCGAGAGATTCGATCAGCCAGCAAAATCGTTTGAAATGTTTGCCCAGAAAATTCCTTTCGAGCCGGGCAGCATGTTAGCACACTGCTCAGAAGTTCCCCCAGGCTGCGAGTCGGGCAGCTGGCCCAGAAATCTCGTTCCTCCCATTCCGTCCGTCGGGCAGTCCCTTGTGTTCCTCCTCTCCCTCTCATCTGCCTGTCTCCTCCGCTCGCCTCACCTACAAAGCTGCAGTCCCACCACCCAGTCATTTCAGTCTCTTTTTCGCATTCCTTC